AGTGACTCTGAGCACAAATACCACATTCTAGGGAGTAAACCTCCCACCCAAGTCATTAGCACTTTCCAGCATTAATACCTCATTAGCACCTTCCCATTCTCACCCGTGGAAGACCAGCAACCCACAAAGCTGGGGAAGAGGTGAAGTGACAATTTCTGAAGATAGCCACAATTTTCAGGCAGCTTTTTGCCCACTGTAAAGGAGATTGCAGACGTCCCCTGGAAATATGACACGCAGCAGGTGACACAGCCATGCGTGACATCACGAGTTGTCTCAGGGTTTTCCAGCCACAGAGAGGTGAGAGAGGTTTTTCCACCATCTCCACTTCACTCTCAACTTTTGCTTTCATTTCTGTTGCTCGCGGGCTCCTGATGTGCCATCACTCATCAGTTCCACCCTCCCACCTCCTATTTGTCATGAGAATCCTTGATGTCAAAACAATCATGTTGACTCTACTGTCTCCTTAACGTTATAGTTGCATATTTATTCTTCCTGTATAACAGCTATTCTGTCAAAATGCCCTTTTACTGCAGATTTATACTTACTGTTTTCACACCTATCCCTGTGTTCTTTCTGAGCTTGGACATAAGAAATCAGAGCAAAATATCTTTGTTCTGCCACGTGAGGACTGCACCAGGACACCTCATCATTGGCTCTCCAAGAAGACCTCCAAGACCTAAAGAAATGTATAGAACATTTTAAAGACTTATGAAGGCCACATTGTTTCAACAGCACATTTCTTCCAGTCCTCCTCTCTTGTTTTTCCACTCAGATGAACATGGGGTATTTTAGGAGTCCATCTGCTTATGTTCCGTAGTCCTCGCTTCAAGCCGTAATGCTCTGTGATACTGCAGTTAGTTTCTCTGAATACAATTATATTGCAGCACAGGATTATGATTTTCAACCCTATGTGTACCGGAGTAATTTTGAAGTATTTCTGCTGTCTCCAGCTGAATTTCAATGACTTTTACAGCTCTGAGAGCATTACTGTGTACTGGGTCATTCTGATACTGTTCTTAAATGGGTAAAACAATCATAGAATGGTTTGAGTTGGAAGGGACCTTTAAAGGCCATCTAGTCCAACTCCCCTGCAATGAGCTGGGACATCTACAGCTTGATCAGAGCCCCATCCAGCCTGACCTTGAGTGTCTTCAGTGTCTCCCCACCTCTCTGGGCAACCTGTTCCAGTGCCTCACTGCCCTTATTTTAAAAATCTTTTTCCTAATATCCAGTCTAAATCTTTTCTGTCCTAGTTTGAAGCCATTTTCCCATGCCGTATCACAACAGACCCTCCTAGAGTCTGTCCCCTTCTTTCTGGTGGCATCCCTACAAACCCTACACTGGTGGAACTGGATCAATTCAGATCCTGCCCCTTTCTGGCAGAGTCCTTTCAGCCATGCTATTTCCAGTCACACCAGCAAAGTTCACCACAGACAGAGAGTTGTAGCATTTTAAAACAGCGCGATGTATTTTAAGCCACCTTGGAGCAAGGTGTTTAAAATATCAGTGGGTGAAGCGCCCACCTTGGGACTGCTCAGCACTCCCCAGTTGCTGATCCCTTCTTGTTTTTTCATGAATCTGTCCCTCTTTGCTACCCAACAGCAGCAGAAAGCGCTGCAAACTGCACTCGGAGCAGAATTTAGCTGCAAACACTCTGCTGCTCAGCGGAAATGGGCGATTTCCACTTAAAAAAAAAAAA